ATATATATATATATATATGTACATATATATATGTATATATATGTGTAGAAAATGAAGTTGGTATATATATAAGTGAATTCAAATATTTAACATAAATTGTTGTAGACCAAGTGGCACACATACACCCTTTATAGGTTAGGGGTTGCAGGTTCGAACCCTCTCCTTGTAGTGTTTTTGCTACATTTCCACGTAAGTGATGACTTGCCCCGTCAGCTTTCCGTTAACGGACGTTAAATCCATGTATCAAGTTGCCAAAAATTTAAAGGTTGTGTATTTTCCTGCCAAGGTTTGAAAGTTGTGATTAAATGGCCAATCAAGTAAATGTCGTGTATTTTTCTGCTATTAAGCCAAATAAAAAAATAAAAAAAAATTCTCAGATACAGAAATTCTAGACTCTAACTCTCTTCAGGTCTTAAATCACCCATTGTCTTTCAGATACAGAGATTCTACATACTCAGCTTATTTCTATGGGCAAATCAATCTAATCCTCAATCTAAACACAACTATCAAATTACATAAAAAAATGTTAAAAAAAAGAAAGATAAGCAAAACGGGTTGCCACCAGATCTAACCCGATCCGAACTTTTTTCTCGCGTTGACAACAGAAGTAGTGAAATAATACAGAGATCGGTCACAGAACGGCCGTCCGATTTACCGAGAATTGAAAAGTCTACCTTCTGGAGGCAGCGGCGCGACTGGGGGAGACGAGCCGCGAGACGGCGAGGCGGAGGCGCGGGTAGATATCGACGGCGTAGGAGATCGAGTCCTAGAGAAGATGATTCGCCGTGCGGATGAACGGATTCAGGGTTCGGATCGGCGGGAAGTAGAGGGTGAGCGGCGCCGCCGAGAAAGCCACCGTGAGAAAAAGCTCCAACATCAATGTTAGATTTAGGGTTAGATTTCTTTGTTTTTAAAGTGGCCGCCAGGAATTTCTTCTCTGTGAATGCGCTGTTCTTTTTTTTGTTGCGTCGCTGTTCTTTTTCTTCTCCAGCATAGATAAAGATCTTTTTGTTTTGCGTCGCTGTTCTTTTCTTTT